CTGCTGGTCCTAGCTTATATTCATCCTAATCATGAGGGAGCTTTACAAAGAAGAGGATGAACAGACACGATAGTGAAAATCAGGATTGAAATGTACCCCGGTTTCATCCCAATCCTGGCAGTGCACCAAAACTCTGATTAAATGGTCCTTTCTGTTCATTCACATTGGTAGAGCAGCGCCCCCTGGTGCTGACAGAACAGTGTGTGGGGATGCATTGAGTCGTTAGAATAGAGTACTGATTGATTGTGTTGTTAAATGTGTTCACTGGTAAATGAAGTACTTGTGTGAGTAGATGCTGAGGGGTTTCTAGAGAGCTCTTAGGTCGTCGGGTAAAGGGACTCGTGCATTTATGTGTGTTGTCCATGTGTCTGAGAAGAGTGAAGCATCTTCTGTTGAGGGCTAGATGTGCTGCTTTAGGGAGCCAGACTGTTATTAGCCTGAATGCTGCATTTCTTCTATACTCCGTGGTCATTTCTTTTTGCTTTGGACCTGAATGACAAAGAATGAATTCTTCTTTTTTTTTTTTTTAAGTATTTTATTTTTTTTTAGCGTGTGCAATACTTGTTGAGAGGGAACGGTACAGAACGTGTTGCTGGATGTCGTTGCCTTAATAAAAAGGTCAACAGCAGAGAGGAGGAGACGGAGGTGGAGTCTGAAGTCACTGAGTGATACTCACGTTGTTTTGCTTCGTCCTCTTTGATACTCGAGTGCTTTTCCATCAGCGCCTCCAATCAGTTGACGGATGATTAGATGGATGAAGGATATTCAGGGTCAATGAATGAGAAGGACAACTAACCTCATCGACCCACCCTTTCATTAGAATCACGGTTCCCTCAGCTCGAGTGTTTCTCCCCGGTTGAGTGTGTGGAAGAAGTGCAGAGTGGTGGTTCTCAGCCTGCGGGTTGCTCTGGGATTTGTTTTGTTGTTATTGAGCATTTCAACATTAATTGAGGAAACTCCCAGAGGAAGTGTTTCAAAAACGTAATGACAATTATTTTAAATATATTTTTCCTATGATCAATATCTGTCTTCTATAAAGTGTTTAAAACCCTGAAAAGGTCAAAAGTACACTTGAAACTTGAACCGATTGAGAACCGCTGCTCTTGTGTGAGAGGAGGCTCTCTCACTTCTACAACACACTCGTCTTTATTTCTCTCACCCACTTGTCTCTCTCTGTAAATTCACTCTCGCTTCTGTATTTTGCTTCTTTTTATTTTCTCCTCGCTCTCCTCCCCAGAGTTTTGTGCCTTTCTTCTGTTCTCATATTGTCTTTGGGGTGCTGAGGCCAACACAACTGTATTTTTGTACATAAACTCCTGCACTTTAAACACAATACAGTTAAGAAAAACAAATCTCTGTGATCTTGTCTTTTCTTCCTGAGTCGATCTCCAGTTCCTGATTGAAAAAGCTCACCTGCTGTTTTCCCTCAAGCATTTGCCTCTTCTGTTCTTTCTCATCTTTCCTGCATCTGCGTTTCATATTTCGAGCCGCGCCGACACGCTTGACAGGTATGGCCGACTTTTCCTTTTTCCTTCTTGCTCTGATGATGCCGTCCCTGTTACTTCCCCCTTTTGAGTCTCAGGAATAGCGCTAAAACGACAACCAAAGGATACGAAAGAGTCGAGAGTAGAAGCAACGATGAAGGTGATTTGATTTAAACTCGGCTACGTGCAAACAAAGGTTCTCAAACAATGTGGGAGAGGATGGGACAAAGCTGGGCCTGGCTAACTTATTGCTCTGAAAACAACAAAACAACAAAACAACAAACAAGATAGCTTTACCAAATGAAATACAGGGGCAGCACCGGCCAATAATCCTCAGGTATCTAGACAAAAGGGAACTACGTGTGTGTAAAATGTAACGGGTAACTACTCACCTACTGTCCTCAACCTCCCACCACGAACCTTAACAAGTTATCAACAACAGTGTCGCAGTTTAAACAGGCAGAGAACAAAAACAAAGAGAGGGAACCCTTCAGGCTTCTTCCTTTTTATTCTGAGCCCCACTCTGCTGATTGGCCGGCAGGAAGTCTGTGGAAACCAAGGAGCAGCACGACTGGCTGGCCTGCAGAGGTGGAATCCAATCACGTTGTTGACACCTGGAGAGAAAACAAACAAGGGAGAGAGAGAAAGAACATGCATACAGAGGCGCTTTGCCCCGGCCTGACACCCAACGGTCCGCTCTGAAAATCACTGATGTTTCATCCTGCTGCACACCTGCATGATGTGGTTTGCGTCTCAGTTGCAACACAGTTCAGTCTTAACGACATGAGTGATATGTTATTGAACTTATTTGCGGCAGGTGAGGTGAGGAGGAAGAGGACTTTGATGTGGTGCTGAAGGGATTGTTGTTACATCAGCATCTTACCTTTTCTTCAACACGGGGCCACAAAGTGCAGCTCGACCTGATAAATGCAAATGGAACTATTTCCTTGTTTTAAATTTCAGAGTTTTCTGACTAAAGTTACATTTTTAGGAACAAACTCCGACGTGTATGTGATGTTAAACGATATATTGTCTTCTGTTTAGAAAGCACTTGTGTGAATCTCCTGTGCCAGGGTGAAAGATAGACTTTGAAGTAATGTTGTGTAATTGGAAAGAAGAATCTACAGACTTAGAGGAAATTCAGAAAGGATGTGTGTAACAAGTGGAACCATTGCTCCGTCTGACTTGTATTGTTTTGCATTCTGTAGTTGCTGATGTCTCGTGTCCTTGTTTCTCGTGCAGGAGATGAAACCTACCAGGACATTTTCCAGGATTTCACCCACATGGCCTCCAATGACCCGGACAAGCTGAACCGCTACCAGCAGTATGATCCGCAGTGACCCAGACTCAACAGAAACGCCGTCCGATTAGCTCTCAGATACATGTCGTACATACATGTCTGCTCAGCCCAAGAGAGACAAGAAGATGTCTGGACAGACATCGTCCACTTTCCCTCCAACGTCATTGAGCATTAATGCTGGTTAGTGCTGCCGTAGCTGGACTCGTGTCACCGTAACGGGACCAAAGCGCCTTTTTCATCAGATAGTTGTCTTGCAGCTGTGTATACAGCCCTCGTTAAAGCCACTTCACCCACGTTAAGGGGAACTTCTGTGAACAGCAAACCTCACTTTCCTTTTCTTTCTTTTTTTACTGACCTACTATTACAATAAGTGAATGGTTCAGTGTTTGAAAGATTTGCAAAGTCCTGAACAATCTGAATGTAGAGCTGCCATCAAGGCTGTCGGTTATTTCAATCGTTTGTGTCACACTTCCTGACAGAAGAAATTCAAAGACAATTTATTTCTTTTCAATTCTCTTTCTGATCAAAGGCATCTGTTTTATATTGAAGTGTTGCTTTAGTAAACTCGACAATATGCTTTTACTCTTTTGCACAAATCCCTTTATCTTAAACCGCCACTGATGTTTACCAGTTTTGATGATAAAACTTTGACATTTTAATGAAAGTAAACATGTTATTGATGTTTTTTTGCTTTTTAAATGCTGGTTTGTTTTTTTCTGCACTTTTCTCTGAACGATTTAAATTGTCCATGTCCGTAGCTGCAGTACGCCTCCGTCAGCCTGCTGATTCTAGCTTCAGTCGTGTTGAGATGTTGATCATTTGTAGATTCAGTCTCACGCTGATATTAAAACGTTAAGATTTAGAGTTAAAGAACTCTACAATAATATGGACAAATACAAAACGCCCTCCCCCGAAAACAGTCAAAACGCAGATAGAACGAGATTGAACGAGAACTTGATTTGGTGTCCCATCCCCGTTCAATCAACAGCAAGAAAGCAAATACAGCTGAGTCACAGCCATTGTCCCTTAACTACATCTGCATTCACATGTATGCATGTTCAGCTGACCTGCTGTGTGCTTTACAATACTCTGCAATGCAGGCAAGTGATTGAAATGAATTAATTGGACGTGTACCAATTAAAGACTCGCTGTAATAGCAGCAAATTACAGAGAACTTTTAAGTAAGCTTCCCTGGAAATGAATTTGGGAAGTTGTGGATCTGTAGTTTTTACAGAAATACCACACAAGTCCAGATGTGTGTGGGATTATTACACTATGTGGTAATTCTGTAGAGCGGCATGAGCTGAGGACTAGAGTCACTGACATTTCATGTGTGGAGTGTTTGATTTAGTTGTGACAACATCAGACGACTGCACTGAAATGTCCAGAAATTAATTATGCCATTATTTTTGTCTTTTAAAAAAAGCGGTAAAATCTTCTCTTTGACATTAACAGTATATAGTAACATATAATATGCAGCGCAGGGGAAACCTTTGGCAGATACAGCATGGGATACAACTCTTGTACAGTTTGTACAGATGGTTTTGAATTCTCCAGAGAACTGAAGTATGAAGTTAGTGGTACTTGAATCATTATGTAAGCTTTTGTATATGCTGTTCTTTGGTAATATTAGCATATTTTGTATTGCCTGTCTGTATACCAGTATACATGTACTGCATTCTACCTGTAATATGTAAGAGCTTCAATACATAAGGACTGAGGATTCATCACAGAATGTTTAAAAAAATAAAAAATAAAAATAAGCCAATGAAAGAGTCTCTCTAAGGCATCAACATTTCCTCTGAATCATATTTGAGTTTTTCAACAGCGAGGCAAAGCAGTAATTCATCAGCCAGCCACTGTGCACATGGTCTATTAAAGGTAATACAGAATTGCTCCATTATGTTTTGCTTTCTTGCGAAACAAGATAATTATCCAATTTATAGTTATAAATTTACAATGAAGTGTCTAAAATATACTTGAATCAAGTGAGAATCTGTCACTTCCACTTCTGTGTTTGTAGCTCATTTAGTGTAATATCTTACTTTACCTTTGCCTTTGCACATCATGCTGAGTGAGGTTGTGAGTCAATGACTCTACTTATAATGTAAATCACAGACACCGAGAATCAGGATCTGGATTTTTAAAGTACGGTTGAAGGATTTTCAAACACAAAAAAATGTGTCGACAAGAAATACATTTGCAGAGAAACAACTTGTTAAACTATCAATGTCTTTCAATGCAGGCGTCCTGCAGGCAGATGACGAGTAAGTGATGTTATCTATTTATGCACACATGCTGGAAATTGTCCACAAAGGCTTTTCACTGAATATTTGAGGAATATTTAGTGTGTACAGGAGGTGATCAGAAATTACTTCTTTTTTTTTTTTTTAGTTCGTGATGTTTTTATTTTCATCACATTGTGTTTTCCTCCTCCGCTGTACTTTTCAGGCCTTTACGGGTTTAGCAGTGTAATCCGCCCAGCAGGGGGAAGTCTGCGTTCAATCTTTCATATTTGGAGGAAACAATTCTTGGCCTCTGCAGCCTGAAACTGCAGCTCAGGATCCTGAAAGGCAACTGTGTGTAAGTCTGAGTTTACTCCTGGGTTGTAATGTATTTACTTTATCCGACTTCACCTGAAGTTCATTTTCAGCCTCACACAAATCCTACTAGCATTTGATTTGTAATGTTTCTGCTCTGTGTTTATAGTTTATAGCAGTTTATCATTTTTAATACCTCCACCTGTTAAGTCACTACAATAAACTAAAACTACAGCGCTCTGAATGTTAAACTCAGCCAAGGTTTTGTGTTTAACCGCAAACTGGGATGGAAATGAATATTTTTTTCTCAATACACAGAGGCTTCATTCATTAATGTACACTGGTGAGATCATGATCTCCCTGTGCCAATCTTGATACACATCTGTGGATGTATTCCCCAATCCCATTCCACCTTTAATAATTACAGCGTGTTTATTTCTGCTGCTAGTTAAATGAGAGGCACGCATGCCAGTAGTGCCCACCACTTCAAATGACTTGCAGTGTGTGTGTGTGTGTGTGTGTGTGTGTGTGTGTGTGTGTGTGTTTAGTCTGCTTCAAACTAATGTTCCTGAAAACACATTGCTTCTTCAAAACAAGGAAAGACGATCATAATTCATCTCAATACTTCTGCACACGCTCGTGTTAAACATACAAAACAAGCTTCTGCAATAGTGATCGAGTTTTGTTGTGTTTTTCTCACGTCTCACGAAATATCGTGTGCGAACCGTCGATGTGACAAAGCAGGATGAAGGGAAAGCAGAGTGACACAAAATAATGACTGTGGATTTACTGTCAATGGCTGCAGGGTCGAAGGCAACAGACTTTCACTTTATTCCCACGTGGCCATTTTGAAATTTGCATTTAACTTTCAGAAAGAGGAAGTCTCAGCAGAAACACCATTTCTATCTAGAAGTTCTATCAGAAACTCTGCTTTTGAATTATAGCCTCTTATACTGGATTTTGTATCTGATATTGATATTTGTCAGTTTTGTTCAAACCCTGTGCAGTAGTAAGAAAATAAATCAACACATGGAGAGACATGGCATACTGTACATGCTAATTCTAAGAGGGAGAAATACAAATAAATACTTAAACATAAAAAAAAAGCTGAATTCCTTTTAGTATGTTATTAAGTAAAATGAGATACTTCTCCTTAGTGAAGATTGTAGCACCATGCCTGCACTCCATAAGATACTTCTCTTACCATCTATAAATGCCAGATTGTACGTGATCTGAATTTAAAAGTCACCTGATGCCGTTCTGGTCCGGCCGCTGTGCCCAGCTCACAGGCTTTGCTCGCTGAATCGGCCGCCGGGCCTTTTCCAGGAAGTCTGTGGTCGGCTTGCCTGTGGAGAAATGAAGGGCCGCCACTGGAGACGTTTCCCCTCCATAAAAACACCATGTGAACAAACGCTGACGGGGCCAAGCCCTATTAATGCCGCTGAGACTGCCAGGGACCAAACAACAGACCATATTCATGTTAACAAGTCACCGAGTCCAGTGGTGACTGAGGTCTTACTTTCATCAAACAAATAAAAAAAAGATAATGCCAGTTGGATGAGATCATTTCATTACTTATAATGCAAAAGAACAAGCCTGAATATTCCTGAAATAAGAGACAACTTTTGATTTGTTTCACTCCGGTATACTGACTCTATAGTTACAGAAAAATGTTAATCGTTACTGTAGGCAAAGTTAGAGTCTACTTGACTAACTTGCACACCTTTTTGCAGAGTACCTGTCCAGATCTGATCGGCTCCTTCATTCTGCCCAATCGCTGCTTTTTGACCAAGATACTCAAGTGTGGAATAGTGATGATGAGGAAATAGCGAGTCAAGAGTTTGTTTTTCTTCTCTAACTCTGAGAAAATTTTGTCTTTCTCAAACTCCAGTCTTTAAGAGAAAAGACTTCATCCCGGCAGACACACAGCTCTGTTTAAGCATTGTTGCTAACAGCACAGCCTTGGCCTCCAAATCTTCAAGGCTAATATTTACTCCGCCCGTGTTCACACTGAACAGAAAGGTTCAGGTTTCATATTTTGGAGCGGCCTTGTGCTGGGAATCCAAACAGTTCTGCTTGTATTCTCTAAATGCTGATGATGAATGAACAGACGGCATGAATAGGCGCAGTGTTACGAGCACACACTTTTCATACCACAATATCCCTCCAACACACTCACACTGACAAGGAGGGGAAAAAAGGTGGCGGCGGCTGAGGTGTTAGACAACGTGCGGTAACGCGTTGTACCATGCACCAACTTCACTAGGACGCAGAAGTACGCTTCGTTCTCCAAAACTAGTGCTTGTTTAGTTTGTCTCCAGCCTGCGTTCCCAGAATGGGCAGAGCCGGCTGCCTCTATTTTTTTTCTTTTCTTTCCATTTTGTGGAGATTTCATTTCTGAGTGAAGCCTCCCCAGAGAGCAGTGCTCCACGCCATGGTGAGCTGTCAGTCTTTCCAACAGGTTTCCCCAGCCGGGGAGGTCTGGTGTCCAGCTGTTCCGACACCCAGAGGATGGAAACCTCCTTTCAGACTGATGGAGCATGTAGCCAGTGCTCCTCTTATCCCATCGTATTTGGAACAGTGGGAACCCCAAAAAAAACCTGATAATTTTCTTAGAGCAGCCGGGAACATGAAGGAAAATAACCACCCTATTCTCCCTGAACACCATTTGAGCAAGGCACTATCTTACCGTCAACAAATCCCATTTAAAGACCAAAACGTAACGATGAATTGATCCAACGTGTTTGAGTGGAGAGGGACATTTGTAATCAAATGCATTCAGTCAAGACATGACTAAATAAAAAATAGCATCACTAAAGTAACACCCATCTTCAAACTTTGAGTTTCCTCGAGTCCATGTAGCCAACAGCCAACAGAAAGTGTCCCTACAACTCACACCAGTTGTGGAATTCAAGCACAGAGCTCAGAGGCTTCAAGAAGGTATTAAATCAATGAAGTGTTATTCAGGGATTAAACGCGGTGCTTAGACCTGCCACTTGTCCTGCCCAGCTGCTGCTAACGGATGCCAGCGACGACGCAGAGCATTATATAACTCTTCAGACTGTTTTGACGTCAGTCACCCTCTCTTGGTGCACAGGGGCCGAGTGAACGTCAACACAGTAAACTAGTCAGGGCAGCGTTTGAGTAACCAGGCAGCGCATGCGGCAGAGAGACGGGGCGCTTCTGAGTGTACCTGTTGCAATCAGACATAGTTACTGGTGCGACCTTTCACCAACTGTACTAATTATACAGTATTTCCTCTTGAACTTTAACAAAAAATAGGAGGTCTCTATCTTTTCACGGTCAGAGAATTAAGGAAACCTTCGAGCAGGAGGCCGCTGGGGCCAAAATTCACCACAGTTTGTTCAGCGTGAACTTCCATCCCGAGGAGACAGAACAGTCTGCTCAGTCCAGAGCTGTATCATGGACCACCGGCGCATCACTCATTGGTCTTCGCTACCAGCCAAAAGCTCTCAGCAACTTCGACCCTTTTCCGCAGGCTACACACTCGCTAACCCGACCAATGAGCTCTCTGGTGGGTCCATTTGTTTGCTTTAACCGCCCTGCTGAACCCTCCATCCTTTCGTCGACACAGTCACCGCTGCATCCACAGACGGTGACTACATGCTCCGTCTGCTCACGCAAACCATCAACCTTCTCTTCTTCCTCCTCCATTTCTTGATGTTTGGTTTGTCAGTTTACTGACAGACGTTAGTCGGTGCTGGTTGGATGCCCGTCTCCATCTCCTCTCCACAGCTTGGCTGGCAGGACTGGGATCCTTTTGCCTTCTATGGTGCTCTGCCGTTGAAGGCCTACTTATTAGGGAATTTGGAGCTCTAACCCTTCTTTGACATTTCCTAAAAAAAAAAACACAGGTCCAAGCTCAGAGGTTTGAGTTGTGAATTTGAAAGCAAAAGTGCACAAGTTCGATCCCTACAAAGGCCAAACGTTGTTGAGAGATTTCAGTTTGGACCGCCGAAAGTGGCGAGTCTCCTGACAGACTAGCGGTGCCATGAATAGAGCTAGCGGGGCTACAACAGAGCCCTGAGCTAATTTGGCCAAGGGCACCAAAACATCGAGCACTGCCATGTTACATGTACAGTAGAGTATAGACCAGACAAAGCTCCAAAAAAACGTTTGTGTAAGGAGTGTGAGAACAGAGAGCCTTACACGGTTCTTTGGTGAATAACATTCATATCACATGTTAGTTTACACGACAGAGGTATGGGGAGCAAGTC